TCTATTTCAATTCAGTTGTGCCATCGATCATGAAAAGATTGTAAAAACAAAAAGAAGAAACAAGACAACTTACTTATCTTATTTCTAGTTGAATCAATCTAGAAAAACCATACATATCATAAAGAGTTTTTTTTACGAAAAAAGAAAAAAACAGATCATTTTAAACAAACACAAATTTTTCAATGTTCAACAATACTACCTGTTACTTTTTTTACTTTAGAAAACAAAACTTCGATTCACTAAATATAAAAGCTTGTTAATAATAATCTCTTTTCAGAGCTGTTACTTCGATCAGTTGGTCAACGTATTTAGGCATATCAGTAAATTTGTGTCGTTTAAATCAGGAAATGAATTTATTTTCAAACTAGAGTGTTATTGTTTTAAAAGTAAATTGTACTCTCGCTCGTTGTATACACTAATCAGATTTATTTTTCTAAAAAACTAATCAATATCTCATTTTTACTTATAATATATGATTATCCATCTGAATGTGAGCATTATTCAGCGTGTTGGATTAGCTTCCAGAAAGTGCAATGCAGCAACCTGATGACCTTAAGAAGTTGAAGACATTTCATCCAATCACAGCCCGATAGAATTTCTGGAACGTCAATGTGATAAACAGTGGTTGGACGATTGTGTAACATGCCTGTTGTGTAGATTGGATGATTTGAATGATATTTTCAGACTATATTGTAAACTATAAATTCGTATGGTTTTCTTGTACATTTTTTTCTGTTTTCTTAAAGCTTTTGATTGATGACCTAGAGGGTGATTCTACTTGATCTAGTGCCAAAGGTTATATATAGTATTAGCCATATTAAGTAACAAACTTAACATAATTCATAGTAAACCTATTCACAAGACAGTCAGTCAATAAGTTAGTTATCATGAACATAGAAACTATGACAAATAAAGTATTTGGATTACGGGGTTCTGAAGATTGTTAAGTTACACATTTTGAAACCATGAATCGTTCAATGTTAGACTACCATTAGAAACCTGGAAGCACTGGAAGGCCGTTTCGTCCTGGTATGGGACTCATCAGCAGTGCACATCCACGACTCCTGCACCCCGCAGGATTCGAACCCAGGTGCTTCGGTACTGTAGGCGAACGCCTAACCATCGGACCACTGAGCCAGTATCTAACGGTGTTAATGTCTAACCAGGACGAAACGGCCGTCCAGTGCTTCCAGGTTTCTAATGGTGGTCTAACATTGATCGATTCATGGTTTCAAAATGTATAAATCAAGTATTAGCTTAACTGCAACATAATACCTAATTACCCTAGATGAATGACAAAAGTAGTAGAAATCATTTTGTACGAGCAATGTTAATAATGAGAAAAAACTTAACATGAACAATATAAATGTAGAAGTGTGGTGCGCGCCACTTATAAGTAGCATATTACGCGAGTAAAAACGTAATGTCTGGCAACAGAAGATGGGGGATGATCAAGAAAGGAAGAGCGGGAACACAATGGGATTTGTATGAAACGCATGAATAGTGAAATGTCAGACAATGGATTGATGTTTTGCAACAGGAACAGTCCAGTTCGATATGATGGATTGATATTTTGCAAATGAACGATTCACGATATGGTTTTCCTATATTACCAATTAACTCTAAATCTACATCAGCATAACTGATTGGTTATCGTTTATCGCTCAAACATCAATCAACTAGTTTGCATCTACACATATAACTCAAACCAATAGTAAATTCGTATAGACAGTGATGTTATATAATCCACACTAAATTTATGTTAACTTTGTTTATATTAATCTGATCTAAAATGATTATTTGATACAGTGTGGATAGATGATGTTAACTGTTATATTTGTAAATTTCACCAGCCCAATAGAATATAAGTGATTAGAAAACAGATTGAGGAAAGCATTCAACTGCATCATAGGGCAAATCCTAACTTGGAATTTTCAAGACCAAACAACACACTGAGCTGAGAATTGTAAAGAAGATATGAAAAGAATAAACAACGATTGTGTAGAATTGTAAAAGAACACCCAGGGCCGAGTAGGTTGAAGAATGTTGGTCGATGGCCTATACTATATCGAGGGTAACAGGTATAACTAAGTAAGTAAGCACGAAGGTAAGTAAGTAAGCAAGTAAGTAATTAAGTAAAAAGGTAAGTAAGTATTTAAGTAAGCAAGTGAGTAAGTAAGTAAGTAAGTAAGTAAGTAAGTAAGTAAGTAAGTGAGTGAGTGAGTGAGTGAGTGAGTGAGTGAGTGAGTAAGTAAGTGGGTAAGTAGATAAGTACGTAAGTTAGTAAGTAAGTAAGTAAGTAAGTAAGTATGTAAGCAAGCAAGCAAGTCAGTAAGCAAGCAAGTAAGTAAGTAAAAAAGTAAGCAAGTAAGTGAGTAAGTAGATAAGCACGTAAGTAAGTAAGTAAGTGAGTGAGTGAGTTAGTGGGTAAGTAAGTGAGTAACTAAGTAAGTAAGTAAGTAAAAATGTAAGTAGGCAAGCAAGTAAGTAAGTAAGTAAGTAAGTTAGTATATAAATAAGTAAGTAAGTAAGTAAGTAACTAAGCAAGTAAGTAGAATACATAAAGAAATTTAAAGAAGCTGTAATTTTCAAAAAAAATACTCACTTGCAATATCAAGTCCAGTACCACTAAATCTGTAAATAAATATTTTTACTGAGTAATTGACAGACAATAAGTAACATTAATAATAATAATTATTATTATTATTATGATAATCTTACATGACAGAATGTGACTGATGAACATTTTCATCGTTGAAAATATAAATAATTACAACAGTCACTATGTGTGTTTACAGCATTTGTACAAGTTGTTTATATATACATATATATATGTTACGAGTACTACAATCCAATTATAAACTATTTTATGTATAAAAAATATATAAAGTAGATAGATATCAAGATGAAAAGAATAAAACAATTCAACCTTTGATCATTTATTATTGAATGGTAAACAAAAACATATAATTTCTCAAAAAAATTGAGCGCTAAATTTGAAGACAAACATGAAAGATAGATTGATGTTAATTTTGTTTTTAAATTTTACTAAACAAATTGAATACAAATGGATAGGATATACATTGATTGAAAAAAGCATCCAACTGAGTCATCATAAGACAAACACTCACTTAAGCTCCTCAAGGTCAAAGGAAAAGAGCAAGGCTAAGAAACAAAGACATGAGAAGAATGAATAAAAATTGGAGGGAACTAGAAAGGGAAGCCCACGATAGATTAGGTTGGAGAATTCTGGTCAGTGGCTTATACTACTACATCGGGGATAACATTAGTATGTAAGTACGCATTAAGGGAATAGTTAGTAATGAGTAGAAATTTATATTTCTAATGTTTTGTAACTTAGTGTAAGTCGCTTCTTCAGAAACATTAGTATAACTTCCGATAAGGTGAAATATATGATTGATTTTTCAGAAGAGGTTGGTTGTTGTAGGGAATTACTTTTAAAGTAGTCATCCTCAAATAGAATCAAGATTTTCAACTGATCACTATTGTTTTTAAGGCTCTATGTAAGTGTTAGGATATTCATCCAATATCCTAAGAGAATTATTGGTCAAATCTTATTGGTCGATTTCTATTGGTCGAAATTATGGTCATTTTAACATCAATCTTGTCTCTTATTGGTCATCTTAACTGTCAATGCTACAGAATTCGATGCTGTTTCCTATTCGACCAAAATGTATAAATACGCATTATCTGTAACATTTTATGACCAGGACCAGGGCTCGATCCCGGATCCCTAGTTCGGGATCCTGATTCTCTTCTGGATTCGGACCTCGTACTTTCTGGACGCTAGTAGAATACATGTACTACTTCATATTCAAGTCTTCTTATTTCTACTAAATATGGGGGTTGGAATAATCGGATTTCAGTAGCATGTCGTGTCGCTGGATCCTCGATCCTCGCTCTCGTTTCCCGACTAGGTAAACTCGTATTAGTTCAAGTATATCAAGTTGACGTGTTTACGTGCAAGCGTAACAGTAAGGAAGGGAGAAATCACTCCGAAGACGATCTATATTATAGAAGGCACTGGAGAATATGTTTTATTTTCAGCCTACGTCTTAACTATGAACTAACTGTTGGAAACCAATCAATAAGTGATTGCCATTTTCTCCTATTGTGTAACATTTTGTCAGTGTAATCCAAGCGTTCCATTTCTCATAGAGAGAGAGAGAGAGTCTTTAATTGTATATGAGATGGTGGAGAAAATTTGTAGCTTATGTGGATGATCGTTCTCTGAGCTGGATGCGTTGGTTGTGGAGCTTCGATTGTTCCTTTGAACAACAACATCATCAGCACAAACTTCAGGCAGTGAAGTGAAGTAATCGAATCTATGCATGTATGACTTGTGGCTTATTCTGTCGACCTGGATGGATCTTGATTGGTTGTTATTGACCTTAAACTAATCGTTATCTAACTTCTTATTTTGATCTGTTTCTTGATCCTATGTGACTTATGATTTTTCTGATTAGTTGACAAATTGGGTCAATGTCGATGTGTTTGTTAATTGCTGATTGAGCTGAGTGCCAAGCTTTTAAAAGTTCTCTAGTGTTCTGTTTACTCCCTTGATCTCGGTTTTCAACATTGTTCCAATCGAATGCATGTCCATAATTGTCCTTACGTATCGATATAAGGGAAGAAATGTCATGATATTTGACTGCTAACGGGTGTTCACGTAGATGAAGCTGAAGCGGACGTCCACTTTGTCCTATGTGTAGTGTTTTTCACAGTCAGGACAGTTTACTTTGTAGATGATTTTTGGTTATTATTCTTTTGATATTTTGTCCTTTGGTCTACACATAAGATTGACTGAAGTGATTCTGGTGGTTTGTGTGCCACACCTTCTATTCCAAATGGCTTCAGTAGTTGTGTTGTGTGTTCCGATATGTCTTTTATATATGGTAGGATGATCCGTTCGTTGGTTCCTGTACTTGATTTCGCTTCTGTTGATGGTTTCAGTTGATAATTTTTAATGAGATTGAATGGATAGCCTTTCTTTTTATCGCTCACTTGAACAAAGTTTGTACGCAGTTGAGTCCTTAAGTTGTTGCTACTGTAGTTGAGGATTAGATCTGTGTGAGTCAGATTTCGAAATACTTGAGTCTCTAGTGTTCCTATGTCAGTTCTGGAGTTCGAATGTTTTCATTTAGAAGAGTAATGATGTCTCACGATGAAAGCCGAGTTCCTTCGGAAGTCACGAGGCCGATGCCCCTTCTGACAATCAGAACTCTTCCACAGTGTGGACAGCCGGGAAGTAAAATCAGCCCTCGTACCCATAAAAGCACATGAGATCAAATCGGTCACAATCAAGTCGTTTCTACACCTCCTAATAACTCTCTTATCTTCAAGATCAACCCTTCTTCCGATCGTTTGTCTAACAGGTGGAATCCAGGACAAGCGTTTCATCCTATTTTGGAATTGTCAGCTCGATTTATCTGCATCTCAGAGTTAATGTCCACTCCGGGACTCGAACCCGGTCACATTAGCTATCGAGTCCAGATAACCCCCTTTTGTATAATGAAGTAAAGTGATCAGTCTTTACAGTCCATACAGGAAGTACATTCTACCCCATTATCTGGCTCCAATATTTATGAATAACTGAGTATGCTATGGAATAAATCTCCCCATCAGTTTTTCTATATTATACTTAGGCAAGCCCCGTTTGTGCTACGGCGGTAATAAGAAGCTAAATACGAATTCGGTTGGATGAGTTTATTTCAAACGATTGTTCATGTAGACTTGATAATGAAAATCATACAAGCAAAGAGAAGCAGAGAAGGTGAGTGACCCAACTCCAATTCAATGAAACATGGACTAAGCATATATAGTGAGACAAAGTAAGCCAGACATGTAATTTGAAAGGCCAGGAGCGCACATACACGAATAAAAGCAACCAAGATATGAGCAAATGATTGACAAGGTCAAAGGACGAGTGAATAATAACTTGAGAATAGTGGACTAATTATTTTATCCAAAAGCTGGGACGAACTCTGTGAGCTAGACATAAATGCACTCACTACATGCATACGTCTAAAAGACTGATGAATTGCAATCCTAATTATCGATAAGAAGATTCTTGTTCTTGTTATACAAAAGAATTCCTTCCTCATTTATGTGTGTAAATCTAACCATGACCATTACATTTATTTTCAGTTAGAGCTTTTGGAGATGTGTTTTTACACATTTGAAATCATCAATCAATCATTGTCAGACCGCCATTAGAAACCTAAAAGTACTGGACGGCCGTTTCGACCTGGTATGGGACTCATCAGCAGTGCGCATCCACGACTCCTGCAACTCGTAGGATTCGAACCCGGGACCTTCGGTATTGTGTGCGAACGCCTAACCTGTGGACCACTGGGCCGGCATCCAACGGTGTTAAGGTCTAACTCTGATTGATCTACGGATTTTACGCGACCTCACCGATTACATTTATACTTTATACCGTATTCTTTTTCCATATTCAACAAATATAGTTAGAAAATATGCATTACTGTTCCTAACTCATAGGTTTTACATTCATTTCGTAATACTTTATGAGAGACTTTTTTGAAAATAACACAGTATTCATAATTTCCACTAGTTGGTTGAAAGCAATCTGTAGATGTCCTTATTCGATCCATGTTTTGTGTTCAAGAACTGTTGGGGACGTTAGATCCCCAAAACTCGCTTGATAAATGACTTAATTTCGGACTTTATGTTTCCGAGGATGGGCTGATCAGTTGACCTTGAGATTTCATTTCCCACCAAGAAAATCCATGGCTGTGATTGGTTACTTTGTATTTTAGTGTGCTATTTTTGTGACTGTCCCAAGGATGTTTCTATGACATATAAATAAACTTGATTTGTGTGCTTGAATTCATTGTGATTGCTGGGTGTTTGTAGAATATACTTTCTATGCTGTTTCAAGACTTCTCATTAGCTGTTTTGAGTTAACGGATGAGGGTAGCCTACCTGGACGCTGGTTCATTTTCTCGTCCTCGTTTATCGACTAAAGTGAACCAGTAATAGTTTCAAGCATACCTAGAGTAACCAATCAACAATAAACAGAAAATATCTATTGATAATTAACAATAAGTATTATTGATTCTTGATACGACAGGATGAAAAGATAAATTATATTTAAGGTTAACTCTTTAAGATTTTGTTTAAAATTACCATTCATTTTGAATCCAGTATGATAATATTAACTCAGATCAATAATTATTTCAATGTGATATTTTATTCAGTAAAACATGTGATTTGTTTTAGTGTGTTAATTATCTAAGATATGACATTGCTTGTTTTAGATTAAATATGTACTATGTTCAATATGGTTTTACAGTATGCACCTTTATCATAATCTAATATATAACTTTTTTTCTAATCAATCATTCAATGAGTGTGTAGAAATCAGTCTATTTCGGGACTAGAGAAGTTGTTGTAATTTGGAGGGACTAAATGTACACTTGTATTGTTGTTACTTCACGTCAAAACCAACATAATAATTCTTTTTCTAATGGGTTCGAAAGCTGAAAGATGATTTTATTGCAGAAAGATAAGCGAATATTGCTGAACTTCTACATTACTAGGATGGTGTTGCTTGTAAATGTCGGTGATCCTTTGTAGACAACGATGATCAAACAGAATTGCTGAACATTCTCACCTTGGATAGAAAAGAATAGCACTTCTTTCATGCTAGACCTTATAAATGAAACCTTTCAGAGCCAAACTAGTAATCACGAAGGCCTAAAAGAT